GACAGTCTTAGATGTGTTAGAATACTATGAGGAACACCCTGATAAAGAAATGGCGCTGGTCTTCTTAGACGCCCAAAAGGCATTTGATAATCTGAACTGGGAGTTTATGAAGCAACAAATTAACAAAATGGGATTCGGACAAAATTTTGTGAACACAATAATTGCGATCTATGAGAAACAAAGGGCTAACATCTTAGTGAATGGAGAACTAACAAAAACTTTCCAAATCAGAAAAGGGGTGAGACAGGGATGCCCCTTATCACCACTTTTGTTCATTTTAGCATTAGAAGTATTATTAAAGAGGATCAGAGAAAATAAGCAAATTAAGGGACTAAAAATTACAAAGGAAACATACAAAATTTGTGGATGGCGTGGTACTAATTATGGAGGAACCATTGGAAACAGGCACCCAAATTTTGGAGGAAATTGGTAAGTACGGAGAGGTGGCAGGGTTCAAACTAAATAAATCCAAAACTAAAATGTTGACTAAAAACATGACCAAAGATCAAAAGAAACTGTTGGAGGAGTCAATGAGGATACAAATTGTAAAGAAAGTAAAATATCTGGGAGTATGGATCTCAACAAAATGTTCGGCCATTAAAGAGGATAATTATGTACCCCTGGTTAAAAATATTAAACAAGACTTAGAAAAGTGGGAGAAGCTCCAGATATCCTTTTTAGGGAGGATTGCAGCAATTAAAATGAGCGTCCTACCAAAGCTGTTGTATCTATTCCAAACTGCCCCAGTCAAACTAGATAGGAAATTTTTTCAGGAATTTAATTCTATTATCAGAAAATTTATTTGGGGAGAGAAGAAACCTAGGATTGCAATTAGGAATTTACAAGATAAAAAAGACAGGGGTGGCCTTGGACTACCAATTTGGGAAATTTACCAAAAAGCAGCAAATCTAGTATGGCTAAAAGAATGGGCAACTTTGGGAAACAAAAGAATCCTGACATTGGAAGGGCATGACCTCCAGAAGGGATGGCATGCTTACCTCTGGGAAACAGGGAAAAGAACAAGAACATATTTTCACAAACATAAAATAAGGGATACGCTAATGTCGACATGGGGAGAAATAAGGTGAAAACAATATACTCAAGTTCCCAGATGGCTATCCACGATGGAGGCAATAATATATCCAAACGTACTGGAATTGGGCAAAACAGCGAAATATAAAGAGATATTAGATGGGGCAGGGAACCTCAAAACAATGGAAGAATTGAAAGAACAGGGCATCCATATAGATTGGTGGACATATGCACAAATTAAATCATGATACAAAAAAGATAAAGAAGAACATGGTATAGAAATAGGCATTAATGGTTTTGAAAAGTATGGATGGGCACAGACAATAAAATTCTGGCCAAACTGTACAACTATCTGGTAGAGTATGATTTGATGGAGGAGGTAGTTAAGGACCCAATGATAGCATGGGCCAAAAATTTTGGACAAACCATAAATTTGAACGAGTGGGACCAAATTTAGAATAATAATCTTAAAATGACCAGGGCAACAACTTATAAGGAAAACCAATACAAGATGATATATAGGTGGCACTTAGCACCGGCTAGGATTGCTAAAATTTATCCAAATACGACCCCAAACTGTTGGAAGTGCAGCCATCAGCAAGGTACTTATTATCATTGTTGGTGGACCTGGGAATCTCCTGGGAATCTTGAAGACAGAATATGCAAGAAAGAAGAAATACCTCATTACACATATAATAACAGCAGCGAGAATCTCCTTTGCTCAACATTGGAAGGAAAAAACGTTGCCATCCGAAGAGCACGTAATTAGAAAAGTACTGGAATGTGCCGAAATGAACAAACTGACGCTAGAAATTAATGATAGAGAGGAAACTGATTACTACAGTGTTTGGGATATGTGGTATGAGTGGTTGAAGAAAAGAAAAGCGAAGTGAAACTCAAGAGAGCTAAAAGATTAAATGGATGATTAATTAAATGAGTATATGGATATAAGTCATACTACCGGTAGTAGGAAATAAAAGGGAGTAAAGATGCAATTTTATGTAAATAAAATGTAATATTATATATTAAGGATTACAAAAGTAAGAAATCCTATGGGCAGTATTTTTAAATTAAGACAATGAACCAATATCATGTAAATAACAATGTAAATATTATGAAGGTACATCTGTATGTGTATATCAACACCATGAAACCGGAAACGGTGGAATTGTACTATAATTCTTAAACAATAAAAACTTATAAAAGAAAAAAAGAAAATAAGAATATGGACAGTGCCCTGCCCCATCTAGTTCAGCAGTTTACAATCTCAGTGGCCAACCAACTGCATAAGGAGGCTTTATATTGATCAGTTGACAATAGCAGAAGTGTAGGAAAGTAATGTTAAATTTGATCACAGCAAAAAGGCCTAGAAGGAAATAGTATTATTAAATAAAAATTTATCCATAGTCTGAACTAAAAACATTTGTCTCTAAAGTAGACTTGTCAAGGGCCACAGTTCATGCAATTTGTCATGTAGTTCCCAAATTAAGAATGATTGATTTTAAAAAATCCATGTATTAGGAAAAATGTGTACAGAATGCATGATCAAAAGAAGATTTCTTGCCAAAATATCTATATTAAATGAAGTTGCATTGAAAACATATATATTAGAAAATATATGCACCAAAATGCATATAACTTTAAAGATGTTCCTGAGCACAGTATGGGTGACAGTGCAAAAAGCAAATAAGTTTTTTTTATTTAGGCTTAGAACACTGTGTGTAAACATGGTGGTCATTTCTGTAATTTGATTAAAGACTGACCAGAATTTATGAAATTCTTGCCTAAATTGTATATAGTATCATTCCCATTGTTTAACTCAGTCTGTCAGGATTCCAAGTAACACCCCCAACGAAAGAAGACTCTGAGGCTAGAAGTTCCTCAAAGTTCCATTTTATTAGAGATGTCATATTGGCACATCTGGGAAAACCCGAATCTGAAAGCTTCCAGGTTTTCCCCACCTAAAAGAAATTCCAAGTCCAAGTCCCTGCCCCAGTCCCCACATGTCCATCACATGGTCCAATCAATGCACCATACCAACAGGCGATACCTCCCACAGGATGTCCTTGACTCTCAGAGAAAGAATGTTATTATGGCTAAATATCTCTCCAACTCCATACAATCCCCCCTCCCAGTTTCCCACAGCACTAAATGTGGCAGCCCTGAAGATCCAAAGTAAAAGATGGCTTCCAGGACTGACACAGTCTTTCACAACTTTGGCAACTTTAAGATGGGTGGACTTCAACTCCCAGAATTGATAGGAAATTCTGGGACTTGTAGTCCACCCACCTTAAAGCCAAGGTTGAAAAAGCTCAGACAGCCACAATATCTTTATTTTCAGAAAGTACCTCATATACTGTACTGTACATATTATGTCCAGCCTTGCATTCAGTGGTTTTGGCACAGCAACGACAATGCATTTGCAGTACAATATGCTAGAAGTCTGGTTTCTATTCACTTTACATTTACTTCCCATATGGCCATATCTGTTATGACTGGGAGCTTAATAACCCAAGATGTAGGGCTTGTTATTATGGCTTTGAAATTGGAAGAACATACTCAGGGACTGTGTTTTGTATTGCTTTATATTTGCTCTATCCTTTCTTGTTTCGTAGTTATTTATGGTCTGTGGAGATTTGGATTCCATTTTCTGACTATTCTGGCTGCCCATACTTTAGCTTCATGACTGCTACTTTTTTGTTAAAACAAGAACATAAAGAGGTTTTTTTTTAATTAAAAGTGTTTTTGAAAGGAATGAAGGGGTTGGATGCATATCTGGTTCTTTTGGGAGGAGAACCTATGCCTTTATTTCATTCCAAAACCCCAATATTTCTTCCCCCACACACACAACACATTAACTTTATTATTGTCATTGGCCAGTATTAATTAACCTGATAAATGCTATTATCAGGGTTCCGATGGATGCCCTAATTAAATCATGAGTTTTGCGAGTTGTCAGCTATCCTGATAAACACCAACTAGAACTGAAATTTTCATGTAGGCTTTTAGCAAAAAAGTAAAGAGAAGGCAAAAAGGAAATGTAATAAGGCTAAGTTATCAAACTTGCATTATTTTCCCCAGCCTTACAAATTACAACTTTGCTTTCAAATCTCAGCACTTTTCTTCTGTTCACAGGTACCATTAGGGTTATAAATATTAATGAGTGGATTATTTTTGTTCATCCCATTTTAGCCTAAGTCACCACTTAGCCCTCCTATCCTGAAACCCTTGCCTATATACTATTTCTGTATTTCCATATTCCTGTGATTTTTGAGTTTTCAAAAACAATCTCATCAAATTGTTTGAATTTAAGACTGAACTACATTAAGGGAATAGTAGTTGGTAGCAACTTAGACATACACTATTTGAAAGATCAAACACCTCTAGATTGGTGCAATAAATAATAGTTTGCTAATGCTAAATGCATAGCTGGGCTTGTGACTGCTATTGAGGTTGAAAGTCATGAAAAATGTGCATATTTTCCTATTATAGTTTGATTAAGAAAACACATTCATAAAATTGACAGAGACTGCAAAATGTCATGGATATGTTTCCCAAAAAACCCCTCCAAGTCACACACATGTCACTCTCATGGCTGAGCCTGAGAGTCAATAGGCCTACATATATCTAATTGCTTTTAATGCTGGAAAAGTAACCAGATTCCTATTTTAATTAGTACCAAGAACTAGATAATAACTCTCACACTGAGTCTGCAATGTTAGAGAGTAGCGCATCTTTATATATGGCTGTATTAGAATTATAATTATTGTGATTATACGTACAGCAACTCTGATTAATTAACATTAATCACTTTGCTCACATTAGTAGGTTGCTGCACCAACAATCCTGCAAGCAGTTCTACAATTTTTAAAACTCCATTAAGAGAATGTTTTCTGTCACAGAACAAAGGTTTATGGATTAGAAATTCTGAGAACTGATTTAATCAATTACCAAATTTTCTGTTTCAGGTGAAATCAGAGTGGCCTTTGTCCTATACAACAATCTGGGCCCCTATCTGTCCACAGAGAACGCCAGCATGAAATTAGGGATGGAAGCCATGTCTACTAATCATTCTGTTATAGTGAATTCTCCCATCATCACAGCAGCAATTAATAAGGAGTTCAGCAATAAGGTTTACTTGGCTGATCCTGTTGTGTTCACTGTCAGACACATTAAGGTGAGGACTTGTTTCCCTGGCAGAAAGCCTCACATTTTGGGGTGGATTATTTTTCACTATTCCTGAAAACATCATACAAAGTATTCACTTCTTCCCCTACCCACAATATATGACACTTTTCAGGCAAAGCCAATCCTCCTCCCCAGAAGTTATATGAGCTACTCAAAAGATATATAATCTTCATAAAGCACTTGGAGTTTATAATTGTTTTGTAGTAGAAATGAAGTAATTCTGCAGAGCTGACTTTAGCTCTAAACAAATCATATAATTGGGGAAAGAGTAATTTTTAAAATGAGAAGAGCAATGTTTTTGTAATTGTTCATCACCCTCTACTGGTAATGACTAGGAGAAAGAGATGATTTAATTTAATATTTTTTCATCTATGTATTTCTTCCCTATAGCAGTCAGAAGAAAATTTCAACCCCAACTGTTCATTCTGGAGTTATTCTAAACGCACAATGACAGGATACTGGTCAACTCAAGGTTGTCGGCTCCTCACAACAAACAAGACACACACAACATGTTCCTGTAATCATTTAACCAACTTTGCTGTTCTGATGGCTCATGTGGAAGTGAAGGTAAGTAATGGATAAATACAAGTATTAAAAATTGGAAATGGTTACAGAATGGAAGGTGGTGTCATTTATATGTGGACGATATTACAATTATACACCTCATGCTGAGCAAGGGGTGCCATTCACTTGCCTACCTAGTGCCTGCCTGGGGAGAAACCAGCTTTAACTCAACCTTGGCAAGACAGACTGGCTTTGGGCTTTTATCCATCCTTGAGGGCCTGGTGATTTGTCATATTTGATGAGGAAGCACTCTCTAACAGAGGTGGTATGCAATTTGGGTCTCCTGGACTCATGGTCCTGCTGTGGGAACAGTTGGAAGTCATGACTAGGGAAGGACTTTGCACAAGTTCATCTTGTGTGTCATTTGCACCTTTCCGTATAGCTGGGAGATTTTCTGGTTCCTGGGTTAATTACTTCTTAGCTTACTTGTGTAACATACTCTACATGGCGCTGCCCTTGAAAATTTCCTGGAATTTGTGTTTCATGCAGCAGCAGGCAGAGTTCTGTGTGCTACATATTTCACCCATGTTACACCACTGCTACATAGGTTGCACTGGCTTTTAGTTGCTTTCCCGGTACACCTGGTTATCACCTTTAAAGCCCTATAGGACATGGGGTGAAGTTATTTATGGAACTGCCTTTCTATGAAGGTATCTTCCCATCCAATCAGGTCAGATAGGGTGAGCATCTTTAGGCCCCTTCCCTTAAATGTTGCTATCTGGTGGGATTTTGGAAGTATGCCATCTTTGTGGCTGTCCTGGCCTTTTGAAATAGCCTCTCCACTGAAATTAAGAGACTCCAACATTGTTAGAGTTCCAAGGGCTTGTGAAGGCATTGGGCCAGGGTGGAAGTGAACCCAGCATACATGAAGTGATTATGTTATAATAGGGTTGTGTTGGGATATGATATTGTTTGTGGAGTTTTGTGGGTTGTATTTATTTTTGTTTTATGTACTGTTGCTGCAAATTGCCTAAGATTATCATACATAAGACAAGTGGTCATATATATTTTCTAAATAAATGTGTCAACTGAAGGATAATTTTAATTTTAAAAATAACTCTAAACTGCTTGAATCATCTTGAATAATTTTGTCTGCCTATCCTGATAAAACTAAATGAAAAAAGAAATTAAAATGGTTGTGGATGACACTTTTACAATAGGAAAAAATAGTAACAAGGGACCAAATCTACTGTTGTCTACCAGAAGGACAAAATTACAAACGATAGATTAATCAATAAATTCTTCGCCATATACTGTGTCCCCAAATTGTGTTTGTTCCACCATTGTGACATTGTGTGTTGGAGTAGGATCAGAAGATTGGTAGATCTGTTGATTTTTTTTTTTTTTTTTTAGCCTTAAGTAAAAGCCCAAAGAGGCACCCAGAGGTTTGGCAGATTTTAAAGGGGCTACCCTCTATTATCCATCAAATCTAAAGTAAATTATAACTGCTAATTGACAGTTTCAGAATTCATATTATATTTCAGGTGAAGTAGTTGACAGGGCAAAAATCAAAATCTAGGGAGACAGACAGAGAGACAGAAGAAAGTAGTAGTCTAGTTTTGGTGTAGTTTCTACCATCAGGCTAGAAATTGGGAGACTGTAAGTTCTAGTTCCACCTTAGGTACAAAATTAGCTGGGTAACTTGGGCCAGGTATTCTCTCTTGAACCCTGACAAGCAATGGCATACCATTTCTAAAATCTTCTCAAGAAAACTACAGGGACTTGTCCAGGCAATCACTAGGAGTTAAGGCTGACTCAAAAGGGGAGGGAGGGAGGGAGGGAAGCTAAATGATGATTTTTTTTTCTTGCTATGGTAGCAACTACTGTAGATTATTGTATTGCTCATTGTTTCATTAGTTAAGCTTTCTGGGTTGCACATTTAGTAATAGGGGGCAGTTTTAGTAGTGATTGACAGGTGTCATCTCCCACATTTAAATATGATTTAAGCAATCTTAGATGAGTGTAGCATACCACCCTACCTCAGAGATTTGTGTATCACCTTCACATCTGGTTCACACTATGAAAGAGCCATATTAAGAACCATATGAAGAAGCTAAAAATAGCAAAAACAAAAAACAAAAAAAAACCCTCATTGGACAAAATGGGTTCTCATAATGATCACCACAAAAAAGGTCATAAAATTGGGCATAGTGACATGGTGATTCACTTACATGTCCAGCATGAATATGACAGTAATTCCAGGTTCAATTATGGTCATAAGTTAAGCCCCATAATACACCATAAGTGTATTATTTTCAGACCCAAAGAAAGGGTCGAAATGATTGTAACCATCAGGAGACCATTGGAATTTTGTGGAAATAGGCACAAGACTTGAAATGTGTAGGGGCTGAAGCTTGTGGGGCAGGAATAAATGTTTTCCAGCCTATCAAATGCCAGTAACATATCAAAAAATGTCAATCACGCAAAGCTATCAGCTGACTTTCCAAGTATCTTAATTCAGGAAGGGAAGAGGAAAAGGAAGAGGAAGAAGCTTCACAGTCTATATGGATTTGGCTCCCGCACCCATTCATGTTTCTTGTTTTTCATTTTAATGTTCCTTCTGTCTCAAAGAAATTTTGAAACGTTCTGTAGAAAGAAAGAAATTCAGCAAATTCTCCATTGGCTCAATTCATCATGTAGATGCAGCTATTCCTAACTTGGAGAGGATCATATTATACCTGCTTGTCATATAACTGCTAAAGGCAATTGGTTAATCTGTCTTTTAAGTTGTTTTATTATTGCATTCTCTTCTGTTTCATTATGACTATACATTTGGGGGCCCATTTTGTACACTGTTTTCTTGTCATTTGATGAAGGGTGCTTTAGACCTATTTTAATGAATACATAAATAGATGGTTGCTTTAAATGAATGCATAACTTCAGGGCCAGATGAATTTCATTCTAGTTTAATAAACACAATTTAATGGAACTTGCTGATGCACTGTTAATCTCTTGTCCCTGTATTCATAAGATGTGAACACACAGCTAAAGCAAAGAGGAAACAACCCTGTCACTCAGATAGATAGATACTAGGGAAAATACTATAACTCATGGTTAGTTATTTTTTAAATACCCTGATAACTGTACAGTGATTTATAGAAACTATTTTGAAAGCAGACCCTTATAGAAAAGGTAATTGAGATTGTATACCTTAACTGCAAGAGAACTACAATTACTGAATTCTACTTTGGAGAGTAAGATTATACTTACCTCTAACCTGGATAAGTCATCCTTGGTTCTCTTAGATCAGTGATGGCGAACCTTTTAGACACCGAGTGCCCAAATTGCATGCGTGTACGTGCCCAAACTGAAAGGTGTGTGCGCATGCACAGACATGCACACATGCGCAGCAGAGACCCGAACACCAGCTGCCCAGCAGGAGGCAGGGCATCCCAACACCGGCAGCATGGCAGACATTTTTCTTTCGTGAGCGTCTGCTTCGTCGTTTGCAGGGAAATAGAAGCTTACAAAAGAAACACCACGGAGATCTGACATGGGGCGACGGCGCGCGTGCCAGCAGAGAGGACTCTGCGTGCCACCTCTGGCACATGTACCATATTTTTGCCGTCACAGTCTTAGATGCTAGTTATCTTGTCATTCCCATTCCTGATGCACACCAAAATTTTCACTTATCCATCTTTAGAATGATATTTCATTCATTTTCTTAAGCTCTTAGATAACCATGTACTTAGTCTCTCTTCCTGCCATGGATTTATTCTTATGCAGCAGATGATATGACCTCTACTACTATGATCATGCCATTGTCTTGCTCACTGTAAAACAGTAAGAGAACACCTATCTGACCTTGATTAATATAAATCACTGGGAACTGACAGATTACATCTCAAAGTTTTGAAGGAGTGGCAGATATTATCTCAGAACCATTGTAACATATCTTTCAAAAATCCTGGAGCACCAGGGAAGTACTCGAGTATTGGAAAAGGGCTGATATGGTTCCCATCTTCAAGAAAGGGGAAAACCAGACCCAGGAAACTAAATGACTTAGATGAGGGAATAAAACTCATCAAATTTGCAGATGACACTAAACTGGCAGGAACAGCCAACACCCTTGAAGACAAGCTCAAATTTGTCAAAAAAAGATCTTGACAAATTTGAACAATGGGCCCTATCCAACAAAATGAATTTTAGTGTGGAGAAAAGCAAAGTTTTACATTTAGGCAGTAAAAATCAAATGTATAAATACAGATTAGGCAAGACCTGGCTCAAAAACAGTAACTGAAAGAAGGACCCTGGAGTCCTAGTGGATGATCACTTGAATATGAGCTCACAGTGGGCAGCAGCAGCAAAAAAGCTAATATAATCCTGGATTGTATAAACAGAGGCATGGAATCAAGATCATGTGAAGTATTTTTTTTTTTTAATACTTTATTGAATTTTCCAATTTTTTAAAAAGACAATGTACAATCACAATCTTGATCCGAGGTGCAATGTTTACACATTTCATAGATCAAACATTAAGTGAATTTCATCCATAGCTATACAATATACAGTTCTATACAATTCTCTACATTTCTATACAATTAAGTCCATTTCGGGTGTCTAACAAATCGTAGCCTATTATCATATTTTTATCCTATTCTTTAACCAGTTATACCAAATTCCCCATATTTCATAGTACTTGAAGTTCTCTTCATTTTTTAGCTCGCTCGTCAATTTAGCCATCTCTGCGCACTCTAGAATTTTATTTATTAATGCTTCTTCAGAGGGGGTAGAGTTGGATTTCCAGAGTTTCGCAAAGGCTAATCTAGCCGCAGTAATAATTTGAATTGCCAATTGGGTTTTATTGTTGTCGAGACCATCTTCAATCATACCTAGGAGGAAGGATTCCGGGGCCAGGGCTATCTCTTGTCCCATTATTTCCGAGAGCCAGAGTCGGATCTTTAACCAAAACTTTTTGGTCTCAGGGCAAGTCCACCACAGATGGTAAAAGGTGCCGACCGTCTTTCCACATTTCCAACATAAAGCAGAAGAATTTGGAAATA